CTGGAGAAGCTGTGGCTGCTCCATCCCTGGAAGTGTTCCAGGCCAGATTGGATGGGGCTTGGAGCAACCTGGGCTAGTGGAAGGTGTTTCTGCTCATGGCAGAGGGTGGAATGAGATGGACTTTAAGGTGCCTCCTAACCCAAACCATTCCATGACTCTTTGACATCAGAGTACTTCGGATCTGCCCTGGGTGCACATATCCCCCGCTGCACCTCAGGACCAGTGTTTGGCTCCAGGGCCACATCCGAGTCCTGCCCTTGCTCCAAAAGCCACCACCCCTTCCTTCTGTGACACAGAAGGACACAAGACCTTGATGGGCAGCTGCAGAGCCACCAGCCACTGCTGGACTGGAAACCCTCCCAGCACATTTATGCAGAGCAGTGGAGCTCATGCAATTCCTTATGGAGATGTGGTGAATGGCTCCTACTGAACACAGCTCAGAGCTCCAATTCATCCCTGCTCCAGCCATGCTGCCCTCCAGCAGGTCCTCCTGCCCACAGCCCTTACCTTGTAGAACACATCAGGCACATACTGCTCACTGCTGGACTCCTTGGCGTAGCCCAGCTCCGGCGCGTCCCGGCAGGGCAGGAGGCACTCGTCCCGCACCAGGGCCATGCACTGGTTGGACACCTGGTACCCCTCAAAGTGCACCTGGTTGTCAGGGCCCCCTGGGAGAAAACAGGTTGGTTACAAATCACAGAATCGTTCAGGTTGGAAAAGATCTCCAAGGTCATCGAGTCCAACCTGTGACTCATCACCACCTTGTCAGCTAGACCAGAGCACTGAGTGCCATGTCCAGTTGTTCCAGGAACACTTCCAGGGATGGTGACTCCACCACCTCCCTGGGTAGCACATTCCCTTGCCTGACAGCCCTTTCTATGAAGGAATTCTGCCTGAAAATCCTGCATGGGAATGGTTTCCTCTGTGTAACTCAGAAATGACTGGAAGAGCAGCATTAAGGTTGGAATCAACAATTTTGGAGCTCTTTTCCAACCTTAACACTTCCAAGACTCCATGATTAGACACAACAGTCTCACTAACAGTAAAGAACACCAAGATGAAACTGCTAGTGCTGCTCCATGGGAAGAACTTTAGGCAACAACTCCCTCTGAGCTCCACATTCCTTTTATCCCACACATTCTTTAGC